AAATACGAACTAATGTTTGCGGAATCGCAATGATTCTGAGGAGATATCTGGCGATTCGAGACGTCCTGACTAACGGGGTGGCAAAACGGTACATAGCGTTCGGGGCGGCATCATGATGCAGTTTCTCGGCGAACTAGTAAACTCGAACATTCCAGCTTTTCACGCATGTCAAGTGACTGCCCTACCCCCCACCCCCTAGACTGGCTACACTCCCCTGGCTCGGAGTTACCGTAGCTTTCTGGAAAAACTGCATCATGATGCCCCACCGAACTAGAATAGACCCATCACGTCTTCAACTTATATGTTCTCCCCGCAATGAGATACGGAGCGCAGACAGAGAGTACCACAGAGAAAAAGAAAGGAAGAGGAAAGAGGAAGAGAAATTCGCAGTCACACAATGAGTCATGAAGAGGGCCATGTGCGGCTGTTTGCTACGTGATCACATACCCAATGACACCATCCGCGCTCGTACGATGGTTGAAGGACGTCGGAAAACCATCTAGGAATTCCAAGAGGTGAGGCCGGTCATGTGGCTAGATTAGCCAATGATCGCCAGGACGAAGAGAGTGACTGAGTGGTACTAATCGTAAGGGGAAAAAGAAGATCCAGAGGCAGCCTGGTGGACTGAACGTCCCATGAAGTTGTACGACCGGCAGTGGCCCAGAAGAGCCATTCGGAAGATGTACGACCTGCGCATCTGGCGTATCTGGGACGAATTAAAGAAGTAAAAAGCAAGAAATATAATAGTAGTAGAGAAGACTAAGAGTCCAGCGAATCAAAGTGAGCCGAAATAAGGTGATGCGTCGCAGAAGCAAGGATGTTCCTTCATGAAGCATTTGAGAGCGGTATGGAGTTCTGGGTAAAAATTTCATACCCTCACTCATTGTTTGTTATTATAGCTTCTCGCAGATATTGGAAAGGGGTCGAGGGGAACTAAACTAGCAAGTTTCTGAGCAACGCGGTTCGCAAGCGCGAGCCCGGGATCACGCGGTACTATTCCAAACCGCCACAGTCAGCGTGAGGTTACCTTAGCAAATGCCTCAAAGGCAGCTTTTTGCTCCTCCGTCGGTCGTCCTTTGTTCTGAAAAGTCCATTTCTCGTGTAAATGATGATAGAATAGTGCTCCGTTACACTTACACTGGGCTTCTCCTTTGTTCCGTTTTCGTCCTCTCGACTGTCCCTCCCTTAAATTATCATCGATATGATAAGATTGACCACGGATCTCTTTCACTGAGGGTCCTCTCTCACTGAAAGATCTCGAGCCGGTTGGTGGCGAGGCTACGTGGCGCGACCCCAGGTGGCGGATAGGGGGTAAATCGCGGACCAAAAGCCACCATGTACTTGCCCTGAGACGCAGGTGGATTCAGGGGATGGACTCCCTGTTTCTGTAGTGCTGTGTTGATTCATACCAGCTGTCTCCACTCAGGCGCATCCATGCATGCTTGCGTGTGTGGTGCGCTCTGTGTGTGTGCGGTTGGTATCCTGCATGTCGGCACAGCCAAAAGCTTGCATTCAAGTGACTGGGAAGTACATGGGAGGCGATTCGGGGCCGCCTCCAAAAAATAAGCCCCTTGTTCCGCTCCAGGATAGCGTGGCTAACTACCTGGAGGTTCGTATATATATACTTTGGAACATGCGACAGCAGAGGCGTTGGCGGTGTGGGTGTCCTCGTCAACACGCACTTGGCCATAAACATCGATTCGTACGAAAGCCTTACGACCCGAATCGGACGTTTGAGATTGAGAAGATGTGGTTCAACTCCTGCTTTGACAATCTTCGTCGCCTACGCACCAACATCCAGCTACGACGAAGGAAGAACACGAAGCATTTATATGGAATTGGAGAAGTTCTACAGGAAGATCATACCTTCTTCAAGGTCATCGTCGGCGACTTCAACGCTAAGATTGGCCCAAGAAGAACGGCTGAAGAACTTCACATCGGTACTCACGGAATGGAATGGAATGAGCAGGGTGAGAGAGACTGTCGGAGTTTATCATGTCGACCAACACCATCCATGGTAACTCACAGTTCCAAAAGCCCCCTCACCTTCGTTGGGACTTGCGGAGCTCGCCCTTCGCACTCGAACAGTCCTAAATGAGACTAGACCCCGATCAATCTCTCAATGAAAGGTCTTTCGCTTGACGACCGACGTCGCCTGTTGTTCCAAAGTTCTACACGGGATCGGACCATCGTCTCCTCCGCGCAAGATTCCACTTCTCGATGCGTGTTGAGAGAGCAGCAAGTTCAGGAAGCGAAGCCCCAGGACAGTCATCAACTGGGACCACTTCGCTTCCCTCGTCAGCTTATGGGAGGATTCCGTCATCGAAAACATCGACGAGGAGTACTATCGGCTCGTTGAACATCTTCACGATTGTGGCAAGAAGGCAGAGAGTTTGAAAGTCACCAAGGGACGTCTGTCTCCGGAAACTCTCGAACTGATACGCCAGCGTGGAGCCGCACGAGCTGCAGGCAATCACCAACTCACGTCCGAGCTTGCGAAGCTATGCAGAGAGGCGATAAAGGAAGATCTCAAGGAGCGAAGAGCAGCAGTATTAGCTGAAGCAGCAGAGGCTGGGAGGAGCATCCGCAATGCCCGCCGAAGCTTTGCCAGCTACAAGACCAAGATGACCTGCCTCCGACGTCCGGATGGAACAGTTACTGCATCCCGAAGGGCAATGGAGAAAGTCATCCACGACTTCTACTCGGATCTCTTCGATAGCCATGTCCATCTGCCCACTTATCAACTGCAAGAGGATGGATACGTCGTCCCCTCAGTTCTCTCTTCCGAAGTCCGACACGCCATCAAGTCGGTGAAGAATCGTACAGCACCCGGTCTCGACAGGGTCAAACCGGAACATCTGAAGAATGCGCCGCCAGTCATCATCAAAACTCTGGCTCGACTCTTCACGCGCTACCTGTCGGAATGCAAGGTACCCACTCCGTGGAAAACCAGCAGGACCGTGTTGCTGTACAAGAAGGGAGACCTGGACGACATTGGCAACTATCGCCCAATCTGCCTGCTGTCTGTAATCTACAAGCTATTCACTCGAGTCATCCTTAACAGGATCGGCAGAATACTAGATGAAGGACAGCCATGCGAGCAAGCAGGGTTTCGAAAGAGGGTTCAGCACGATCGACCATATCCACACGGTTACGAAGACTCATTGAAGTTTCACGAGAGTACAAGATGCCGCTTTGTCTCACGTTCATCGACTTGAAGAAGGCCTTCGACTCTGTGGAGACAGAAGCGGTTATCGA